AATCAGCATTGAATGTTTTGTTGCAATTAGGTTTGACACACATTAAAGCCTACTCTCCCCCCCCCCCTTTTCAATCTTTTTATTTTTACTAATTGAAGATGCTTATTATAACACATGTAAGTAATCAGATGTTTTGTTTGATGTATAATCTATAACGAAGAAACCCATACGCCCAGTGTAAACATATTTTTGTAGTTTGATCCCTTTTTTTGTTTTTGTTTGATATTAAATAAAACCGAACTTTCAAACGGTAGTCTTGACTTTAATAAGAGGGATAGAAATTATAATCGATAGTGTTGTTAAAATGATAAAATTAAAAGTTGAAATTTAAAATGTACTCTAGTTTTGTTTTACATATTTTTTGGACTGCAATTTACACATCAAACTCCCACACATCCACACAAACCTCCACACATCAACCAAACCCTCACACATCAACCAAACCTCCCACACATCAACCAAACCCCCACACATAAACCAAACCCCCACACATAAACTAAACCTACACACATCAACCAAACTCCCACACATAAACTAAACCTCCACACATTATTCAAACCCCCACACATTATCCAAACCTCCACACATCAAATAAACTCCCACACATCAACCAAACCTCCACACATCAGCCAAACCCCCACACATAAACTAAACCTCCACACATCAACCAAACCCCCACACATAAACTAAACCTCCACACATCAGCCAAACCCCCACACATAAACTAAACCTCCACACATCAGCCAAACCCCCACACGTCAACTAAACCTCCACACATAAACTAAACCTCCACACATAAACCAAACCCCCACACATAAACCAAACCTCCACACATCAGCCAAACCCCCACACGTCAACTAAACCCCCACACATCAACCAAACCCCCACACATCAACCAAACTCCCACACATCAACTAAACCTCCACACATCAACCAAACCCCCACACATCAACCAAACCCCCACACATCAACCAAACCCCCACACATAAACCAAACCTCCACACATCAACCAAACCTCCACACATCAACTAAACCTCCACACATCAGCCAAACCCCCACACGTCAACTAAATCTCCACACATCAACTAAACCCCCACACATAAACTAAACCTCCACACATCAACTAAACCTCCACACATCAACTAAACCTCCACACATCAACTAAACCTCCACACATCAACCAAACCCCCACACATCAACTAAACCTCCACACAGCATCCAAACCCCAACACATCAACTAAACCTCCACACATCAACCAAACCCCCACACATAAACTAAACCTCCACACATCAACCAAACCTCCACACATCAACCAAACCCCCACACACAAACAACTTGCCCAGATCACATTAAAGGTATATTGATCCCACCATCTCTAAAGCCTGTGTGTGTTGACGTGATACAGTCACTACAATTCTAATTAGTTGCCTTCACTCGAGTGGTCTAATTTTGCAACTAATCGGGTTAGGCTCATCATTTAGTTAGATAACCAAGATAAATTTACTCGGAAATAACTAACGGCTTTAACTAATCGGGTTAAGCTCATCATTTAGTTAGATAACCAAGATAAGTTTACTCGGAAATAACTAACGGCTTTAAGTAATAAGGTTAGGCTCATCATTTAGTTAGATAACCAAGATAAATTTACTCAGAAGAAACTTTGTTACACTGTCTTGTAATGTCATCTCAACTTTCATTCGCTTAAAAAAAATAATAACTAAAACGTCTCAATATGTTGCATATCAGACCTCGCAATATGTAATTATCAAAAGTCTCAATATGTTGCACATCAGAAGTCACAATATGTTGCATATCAGATGCTTCAATATGTTGCATATAAGAAGTCTCAATATGTTGTATATCAGATGACAGTCGCTACCTTACACATCTGTTATTTCCTTAAACATCAATACAACACAATCTAACAACATTTAGACATCAAAATCAACATAATCTAACATTGTTTTCACAGTGAATGTTACTTTTTTTTGTTACTGTTACTATATGTTTCGATTTGAGGTCGCCACCTAAATAGTGGTTATCTAACTACTATACTTCAGAGAAAGTAGCAATATTTGTCTAACTACTATAAAGAAATGTACTGTGTTTGTCAACCTACTAAAAAGAAAGTTACTGGTCTGTCTACCTACCGAAACTTGTCGATAGAGACCAGTAAAGCTGCAACAATTTATGATCATCTGGTTAGCAGATGTTTGTTTGATGGTAAAGATGTGTTTCAGTAAATGTGTAGATAGATGTGGTAGTTGTGTGGTTGGTAGTGGTGAAATTGTGAGTGGTAGTGATTGAATGTGTTGTATTAGTAGGGGTGGTGAAAGAGTTGGAATTGATGGTAATGGTGTGTGTGGGTGATAAGTGTTGTAGTGGTGTGGGTGGCAATGGTGTACACCCACAAGTACCCAGCCCCCTTAGAACCATTCACAGGTTCACTAATAATCAGCATCCTTAGAATCACCAACAAGTACCCAGCCTCCTTAGAACCACCCACAAGTACCCAGCCCCCTTAGAACCACCCACAAGTACCCAGCCCCCTTAGAACCACCCACAAGTACCCAGCCCCCCTAGAATCACCCACAAGTACCCAGCCCCCTTAGAACCACCCACAAGTACCCAGCCCCCTAGAACCACCCACAAGTACCCAGCCCCCCTAGAACCACCCACAAGTACCCAGCCACCTTAGAACCACCCACAAGTACCCAGCCTCCTTAGAACCACCCACAAGTACCCAGCCTCCTTAGAACCACCCACAAGTAACCAGCCCCCTTAGAACCACCCACAAGTACCCAGCCCCCTTAGAACCACCCACAAGTACCCAGCCTCCTTAGAACCACCCACAAGTACCCAGCCCCCTTAGAACCACCCACAAGTACCCAGCCCCCTTAGAACCACCCACAGGTTCACTAGTAATCAGCATCCTTAGAACCACCCACAAGTACCCAGCCTCCTTAGAACCACCCACAAGTACTCAGCCTCCTTAGAACCACCCACAAGTACCCAGCCTCCTTAGAACCACCCACAGGTACCCAGCCTCCTTAGAACCACCCACAGGTACCCAGCCTCCTTAGAACCACCCACAGGTACCCAGCCTCCTTAGAACCACCCACAAGTACCCAGCCTCCTTAGAACCACCCACAAGTAACCAGCCCCCTTAGAACCACCCACAAGTACCCAGCCCCTTTTGAACCACCCACAAGTACCCAGCCTCCTTAGAACCACCCACAAGTAACCAGCCCCCTTAGAACCACCCACAAGTACCCAGCCCCTTTTGAACCACCCACAAGTACCCAGCCCCCTTAGAACCACCCACAAGTACCCAGCCCCCTTAGAACCACCCACAAGTACCCAGCCTCCTTAGAACCACCCACAAGTACCCAGCCTCCTTAGAACCACCCACAAGTACCCAGCTCCCTTAGAACCACCCACAAGTACCCAGCCCCCTTAGAACCACCCACAAGTACCCAGCCTCCTTAGAACCACCCACAAGTACCCAGCCTCCTTAGAACCACCCACAAGTACCCAGCCCCCTTAGAACCACCCACAAGTACCCAGCCCCCTTAGAACCACCCACAAGTACCCAGCCCCCTTAGAACCACCCACAAGTACCCAGCCTCCTTAGAACCACCCACAAGTACTCAGCCCCCCTAGAAATAACCCTCTAACGTGCACATTTCATAAATATAGCAGCTGAGATCGCATTCAATATGTTTGTATTTTAGGACAGACGGTGTTGGCTTTTACCTTTTTGTTATCTAAAGCACTCGCACCTTTTTAAAAATCTTCGTAGAATCAGTTTTAGCGATGTTAAAGCTGGTAACAAAATTGGGATTTTCCGGAACAGTTCATTCCCATCAGAATATAGGACATCGTGACTCGGAGAGCTATTTTTAGCTGCTGTTGAATGAGCTATTCCTCTCGTTCCCACTACAGAGATGTTAATTTGTTGAGCTGTCTTATTTGTGTGCATCATTTGTCAGAGTCTTGGAGGTGGGGGACGGGGGGGGGGGGGGGGGGGGGGGGGAGACAACGGGGATAGGGGAGGAGGAGGGAAACTCGAACTAAGCATTTAGCTGTTTGCCGAGAAACATGATACCTCAAGATTTTCTTGAGAACAAATACGCCTTTGTCGTGTCCGTCTCACATTTTAAAAATAACCCTTAATTGGGATAAAATTTAATTAAATCTTCTGACTTTTCTCGGCTCGTCGTTAGAACGTCCTCACAGAAGAAGGCCTACACATAATTTTTTTAAAAATTATTTCACAAAAAAAAAAAAAAAAAACACTGTTGTTATAGTTCAGTTTTAGAATCCAGATTTTTAAACCACTTTCGCTCGTGCGATGCTTTTGTTTTTTGTCCCTACCCTCGGCAGCCTTTGTCCCCACCCACGGGATGTGGGTCACGCATCAATAGCAGAAAATTGATTTTTTTTCTTCAAACGGACGCTCTGAATCCGATATGGTTTCAAAGAACCCGCCGTTATAAAACTATTGTAAAAATAAAAAAAAGGTAAAAAAAAAAAATTACATTTGAATTTATCATGTGCTGGAACTAAATTTAAAACACAATGCGATTGTCGTTCTTTTCATTATAAATAAATAGCTGCTTCATTAATATAAGACAGTGAGACCACTGACCATTGGTAGGATTTCAATACACGTTTAATGAGTCCATTACACGTGTAATGAGTCCATTACACGTTAAATGAGACCATTACACGATCTGTGAGACTATTACACTATCAATGAGACCATTACACGTTGGATAAAACCATTGCACGATCATTGAAACCATTACACGTTCAATGAAACCATTACACGATCATTGAAACCATTACACGATCAATGGGACCATTGAGACCATTGCCCATACAAGCACTGCCACCGCGCTTCTGAAAGCGGCGAAATTCGAAGCGACAGCGCAACGATGGCGGCGGTAAAGCGCGCAGACGAGAGCCGGCGTGTGTTGGGTACAAGCCTCGATGTGGTTATAAAACCCAACAAGCCGGCCAGCGCGAGACAAATTTTTTTTAGCTTGCTCGAGCTTCTGAGTGTAACATGGCCGGAGTAGCACGGGGCAGTTTAACGGGCAAAGTCGCTTTGATTACGGGTAAGTCGCTGGCTTTTTACTGTTTTACGTCTGGGGTGGATGCATGGTCCGCGTTGTAAAATTATCCCATGCCGTGGAATTTATTTTAACAGCGACAGCTAAAAATCTGGTCACATCCTAGTCTAGTATAAAAATAAAATATTTAACAGACTAGATCTATAACTCTATATATATAAGCTAACAGCGCTAATACTAGTCTCGTAATTGTAAACAATAATGTTAATTAACTGTTTAAATAATAAAGGTATCGTTGTTGGTATCATGGGCTAAAATTGATGCGCAGGCAGAAAAAAAATCATCGATTTGCTTAATTGCTTTTGTTAATTAGTAGCGTTGACTGGTGCATGTGCCTACAGTAGCCTACGTGTTAAAGTTAAAGATTGATGTTGTCACTATGAATGAATCATTCATTCTCCGGTGAATCAATATTGCTTTGGAAGCCTTACCGGGAAGCTATAAATAAAAATCCAAGTAAACTGTTAGGACTGTTACCAACCAAATTACAGCACGTTAGGTCTCATATTAGGACGAGCTTGGCTCCAATAGGTGTCATTGAAAAAGGTTAAACTTCGCGTTCGGCACTGACAGTTACGGGGAGGATTGTTATCTTGATATGAACTTGAATAAAAAAATTGTGTGTGATTTCGAGTCAGGATCCCGCCTTGGAGCAGAGTTATCTAAACGTGACTGCGTCCCCGTGACCTTAACGAAGTATGAATGAAACTTGCTAAAAATAGATGAAGGGGTTTTCATTAAATACAAAACGGAAATTTTTTCTAGTTACGCTCTAGATAGTTTTAGAGGCGGGTTGACATCGTGTCAGTGACACAGGTTGCATCACGCGTGACAGTGACAATTGTTATGGTGTAGGTTTAGGTTGTAGGTTTACATTATTACAGTTTTAGGTGAAAGCTTTACATTATTACAATGTGCAGTGTGTGTATGTTTTTCTTCACCCAGCGTGCCTCCGCTAGCGGCTCATAACTCCCAATTTGTTGCTTTTTATTGATCTGCGGAGCACAGACTAATTAGCGGTGTGTTCTGTGTGTTGGGGGGTGGGGGGGGGGGTGCTCACAAGTTTACGGTGATGTGATCTATCTCTGTGGGGTAGTGGGTTGTAGCAAACATTGAGCTGACCCTACTTTTTTTGGTCGTGTTTGATACTTGCTCCATCTCTGGCAGGTCGAACGGAATCGATTTCGCTAGCAGGTCGTAATGATTCGATTTCGCTAGCATTGCCACTGAACCCTAACATCAATACCGACATGTAGGCATAGGCTATCATTAACCCCATGGTGTCATAGGCTATCATTAACCCCATGGTGTCATAGGCTATCATTAACCCCATGGTGTCATAGGCTATCATTAACCCCATGGTGTCATAGGCTATCATTAACCCCATGGTGTCATAGGCTATCATTAACCCCATGGTGTCATAGGCTATCATTAACCCCATGGTGTCATAGGCTATCATTAACCCCATGGTGTCATAGGCTATCATTAACCCCATGGTGTCATAGGCTATCATTAACCCCATGGTGTCATAGGCTATCATTTACCCCATGGTGTCATAGGCTATCATTAACCCCATGGTGTCATAGGCTATCATTAACCCCATAACTCTCATTTAACCACCTAGCTGGCATGGGTTATCACCCCAATGTAATTCAGGTCTATCATTACACTCGCTACACTCTATTTTTTGTCTTGGTTATACTTGGTTATACTGATTATTTTAGCTAATGGTCGGGCTATAGTTATAATCATACATATAACATCTTCTGTGCATGAAAATTTGAAGAAAACTTTATTCAATTTAAAATAATTTAAAACGGTTTGACCTTTTGGGCACAAATCCTCGAATGGCCTCGATATAAAAATAAACGGTAGTGTATCTTCATCTGTAACCCTCTCGCCTACACTACTAAAGTACTATATACTACAACTCTGTCATACAACTCTGTTCAATACTAGAGACCCAACTGTGCCCTACACTACAAACACAACTCTGTCTATTGTCAACCTGTGTCCTACAAACTGTGTTCTACACTACAAACAAATTTGTCCTACAAAATTGAAAAAAAACAACAGCTGTGTTGTCTTGCTCATGACTAGTGCACACACAAACTATGACTAGTGCACACACAGTCTATGACTAGTGCACACACAATCTATGACTAGTGTACACACAATCTATGACTAGTGAACACACAAACTATAACTAACACCAAAGCTAACAACAGGACTACATTATTAACATCTAGACCAACGAGCACTACACTACAGCTAACCGCTGATACAGTCATAAATACGTGTGTGAATTGGTGGGGGCTGAGGGGGGGGGGGGATAGTGAAATGGGGGGGGGGGGGTAAGCCGATGCCACTCAACAGAGCACAGCAACAAGATATCCAACATTCTGTGGCCAAATGATCACGATAGCATGGAATGAAGGGGCTCGCTGAAGACATCAACTCATTTCTTATCAGCTTTAAAAAAAACACTTTATCAATAAAGAGGTGCGGGGAGAATGTGACTTAGATTCGATGCACCCAAGGAAGAAATGAATGTATGGAAGTAAAAAATCGTTTAGTGATGTGAAAAAAAAAAATGAAAATGTAAAAACGTGGTAATTCTATGTCCTACCATCAGCACGACCCCAAAGGGGTAGAGAGATTTTTAAATTAAATTTGACATTATTAAATTAAATTTTTGAAGCTGCGTTTTGGCCTGCATCGCTGGCTGATATGTGTTGGAGGCAAAGCAAATAGACTCATCATACACGGCTTTATAAATTAATTTAACTATTTGATAGATCGAATATATAGAAGAAAAAAATATGCCGTTATAGGCGAATTGTGAACGGACAGTGACCAGTCCTCACCCCCCCCCCTCCGGACTTACTTTCCCTAAAAGTCCAGATATATATATATATATATATATATATATATATATATATATATATATATATATATATATATATATATATATATATATATATATATATATATATATATATATATGGAGTTATAGTTTGCCTAGGGCATAGGAAGGGGTCTCATGCCATCAGATGTCTACCTATAGTAGTTTTAACAAAGTAATCCAGTTTCAACTTCTCGCCTCAACGGATATTACAAATCCAGTTAATCCGTGTTAGTTTTGTTTGCTAAAGTAAATAAGCTTACACGGGTTTAGTAAACTGCTCATCTATCTACTTTGTAACTTTCTCTAGTTAAAACGAAGATTGATTCGCTTTATCCAGCTCAACCCATCTCTTGATTGAAACTAAAATCCGTTAATGCATGCATTGGTCTATGTCCAGGTAATACGACTAGTAGGTCTTATTCAAACTCATAATGCTCGCTGGTTTATACGGATATGAGGAAGTCATTTAAACATCTAATCCACCGTTTCCTAAGTACATATGTATAATGTATCTAATCCAACACTGTATGCTAACTATATCCAGCTAATCCATCTTAACCAACACTGTATGCTCTAACCAGCTTATCTATCTAATCCAACACTGTATGCTTACTATATCCAGCTGATCCATTTTATTCAACGACTGTATGCTCTATACAGCTAATCTATCTAATCCTATGACAGTATGCTAATTATACCCAGCTAATCTATCTAACCCTATGACAGTATGCTAATTATAGCCAGCTAATCCATCTAATCCTATGAGTGTGTGCCAGGAATATCCACGAAATCCAGCATCTAATACAAGGCCGTCTGCTGTGTGCCAGCTATCGTTGATTCTGCGCACAATGCACAAACATGACCTCACAGGATGTCTCATTCATCAAACCTCACCCCCTCCCCCCCCCCCAGACGAACACGTCTAAGACTCTCATGAGCATCCCCTCCCCCCTCCACATTCCTCACCCTTGCAGCGTCTACCTCACAGTGGAGTGTAACGTCGCATTTTGTTAACGAATTCTTACAGTCCGTTATCTCCCGTACCACGTGATAATCAAGTTCCTTTGTCCCTGCCATTCATACCGTGGTTGTCAACAATGGCCGGCCGGTTATTTAATGTGGTGGACTTACAACGTCTGCTTGAGTTGGGCTATGTTCTGTTGGTCGCACAATGGCCGGCCGGTTATTTAATGTGGCGGACTTAAAACGTCTGCCTGAGTTGGGCTATGTTCTGTTGGTAGCACAATGGCCGGCTGGTTATTTAATGTGGCGGACTTTAAACGTCTGCTTGAGTTGGGCTATGTTCTGTTGGTAGCACGATGGCCAGCTGGTTATTTAATGTGGCGGACTTTAAACGTCTGCTTGAGTTGGGCTATGTTCTGTTGGTAGCACAATGGCCAGCTGGTTATTGTGGCGGACTTAAAACGTCTGCTTGAGTTGGGCTATGTTCTCTTGGTAGCACAATGGCCAGCTGGTTATTGTGGCGGACTTAAAACGTCTGCTTGAGTTGGGCTATGTTCTGTTGGTAGCACAATGGCCAGCTGGTTATTGTGGCGGACTTAAAACGTCTGCTTGAGTTGGGCTATGTTCTGTTGGTAGCACAATGGCGCTGTGGGAACACACAAAGGACATGTGGCCAGCGTCAGGTTGGCTTTTTATTTAGACATCTACACTGGTGCATCTACAACCCATCGATCAACCCGTTATGCCGTGAATACAGGAACAATCCTCAGTTTAGTGAACAGTTGTCTGTTAGTGAACAGTTGTCTGTTAGTGAATAGTTGCCTGTTTAATGGCGCTGGCCGGTGTTAATCGTGGCGTGTGTTTTAGATCAAATAGATTGCGTTGTTTATATATATATATATATACAATTAGATAGCATTCTAGTTGCATCTACACTCTGGTCGATTAATTATTCATATGTTGATAATTCATCTTCCCCTCTTTATTCTCTGATATATTGTTTTCCCTTCCTCATCAATTATTTATCTCCGTTGTATTTTCTTTCTAGAACACATTTAGAATTCCTTCTACACATTCTCTGATGCATTCCTCTTCCCTTTTTATTCTTGATACA